GCCGTAAATCATGAAAAGCAACCACAGCTATAAACGCTGCTGTCGACGCACCGCGTTCCATTCCACGACGTTCCAATTCCATTCCATTGCGTTGCGCACGGCTTAATTTAATTGCGTGCAGGCATGGAACTTGGGCGCGAACTCGTGACACGACCAGGCACGAGGGCAAAACGATTGACAGAGTGTGAGAGACGAGTGGGAATGGGAGAGAGAGAGAAAGAGAGAAACAGAGAAGACATCTCTCTCTACAGCGGCGCAATATTAGGTTTCTTCGAATCTTCAAAAGGCTTCGGATTAAGTTAAATCTGTCAAAAAGTCCCCTAAGCTTAGACAGTTATATCTTTTATGAATGCAGATATTAATTGCCCGATCGTTCATATTTTTTGTATGTAGAGGGTATTATAATTTTGTCAAGAAATGTTTAATGCATGGAAGTTGACATATCCGACCCCGTCTTTTAATCTATATCATATGTCAAATGTCTGAATTAGCCGAATATGTATGTACAAGGGTATTAAATCTTCTGCGTGCCGAAATTATCCTAACTAACTTGTTTTGATATAATATTATATATTAATGAAATTTCCTTTGTTAAATGAAAACTTGTCATTTTTAAAAGAAAAAACTCAATATGCAAGCAAGAATTTCGTCTGGCAGCTTTATAAAATAATAGAACGCTGCTGAAAAATCAGACAAATAAAAGTTATAAGCTTATGAATATTGTGCTAACAATCAAAAGCACCTATAAAAGATATGTATACATACATATGTATATACAACTAATGACATGTGAATGATATATAGAACAATTTTTAGATATTATTTAAAGGTAAGTTATTTGGGCACAATTCTCAAGTAATTGAGACAGCTCAGTTCTGGGGCTTGCGGCTCTAAGCATAGGCATAGGTTGTAAACCTAAAATGAGATTACTTTTCACGATTATTTAATTTTGTTACATTTTCGTGCGAATACTCACGAGCTGCACCCTGCGTGGGCTCTCGTGCGTGTCTTTGGGATTTATGAGCAAATCGAGTTTATCTCTAATGCATATACCGTGGGCATAAGTCGCTAAAGAGAAAGAGTGAGCCGGAGCAGGACTGTGAGAGAGAGAGACAGAGAGAGAGGGAGAGGTGGAAGACGTCCTGCAGAAGGGGCGCAGGAGTTGAGTCACAGGCGGCGCTGTTGACGCTGCGATGCCTCGTGAATTCAGTTGGGACGCAAACCAAATAAAAACAAAGGCAGACAGTGCCACCTTTGGTTCTTGTTCTTGTTGTTGCTGTTGTTGTTGCTGTTGTTATTGTTGCTGCTGCAATTTCATGTCATGTCGTGCTTTTACTTGCTGCTGCAGACACACCCCTCGCACAAAGAGGGTCCCCTTCAACAGTCCCCCCACAACCAGCTCCATGCCACACACTGTGGTCGACTTTAATTGAAAAACTTTTGCAGCCGTGTAAAACAATTCGAGAGGGCGTGTTTCAATCTAGAGGGGACAGGGTCAGAAATATTTGTGCTGTCACAGTCGTCTCATGTTTGCAGCGGTCAGTGGGAAATCAATTAGAAAATTGTGGTTTCAAAAAAAAAAAAGAAAATGCACAAAAAACTGCGCAAAATTGTCATAACATAATAAATTAATTGAAATTGACAGGCAACCAATTACCAAAATGCTTGCATGCCTGCTGCATTAATGTTGCGCATGCTTTACATGCAACATGCCGCATGCCGCATGCCGCACGCCGCATGCAACTCAATTAAACAAGTTCAAAGTTGTCTGGTAGCGAAAAATGGCAGCCGCGCAAGCCATGTCACAGCAGCTACAGCTGCATGTGGCATGCAGTCAAAATTGTATTAAAAGTTACCATTTCAATAATCAGGACTCGAGCACTCACGGCAGGGCATGACACGATGCAAACACGAATATTCAGCCAAGCAGACTGAAAGACTGGAGTTCAATTAATGACTTTCAACTGATTTCAAGATAACAAACTTATGGATCTTTTTAATGTTAACATTCTGCTTTGAGAATATATATAATAACTTATATATGCATGTGTAACAGATAAGTATATATATACATATATCTATATATATATATTACAATTGTATATCTACATATTTTCATCTGTTTTAATATCTTCTTCGCACATGCTCTTGTCTTCATGCTTTCACTCTCAGCACGGACACGCAAAAAACATGCCGCTTGTCAACACTACACTGTTGTGTTAACACTCCATGCACACCCATCTCTAGTTAAGCATCGAGCAATTTTTCATAGCATTCCAAAAGTCGACAAATTGTTGCAATAGTTGAGGCTGGTGCCGCATTTTCTCCACCTATCTCACTCTCTCTGGCGTTGCCCAACACTAGTAACCACTAGCCAAAAGTGCTCGTCACTGTCAGCTGCAACAGCAACAACAACTTTGGTTACTTTCGCAGACACTTTCACAGCTCGAAGTGGGGACAGCAGCTCGATGCGTCGGGGAGATGCTCTTTAGAGGGTTAATTTATTTTCAATTATGCCTAAAGTTTCAGAGTTTATCATTTGCATATTATGCAAGTTCCTTGAACATATTAAATACGTTTGCTTCTTCCTTATTAACCGTAAGAAAAGTCGCTTTATTCGGTCAACAAATTGTTTGAAGCGTCTTCTTACTCTACGTTTCTCTCGCCCTGTCCAACACTATCCCTCTATAAAGCATATTTCCGCACGAATTTGCTTATCATTTGCAAATTTTGAAGTTTGATTTTTACAAAGAAGAAACGTCGCTTTACTCAGAACCGTCTTCTAACTCTACTTTTCTCGCGCCCTGTCCAACACTGGAACTCTGTTAAGCATATTTCTACACGAATTATGACTAAAATGAAGTGAAAATGATTTGAGGTCTGAACGTTTATTTAATTATCAGCTCATATTTATTATACCAAGCTCAGCTAAAGTTAAGTCCAGATGAGTCGAAAAGTTGAGCACAACTCTTACCCGGAGTTTGCTGCATTTTTCCTCATGTGTGTTTTATTTGATGTTTATTTTATTTTTCTGGTTTCTGCTGGAATTCGCAAATGAATTTCCAGCTGGGCCAGCTCCCAGGCTCCATCAGCTTGCGGCAAACTGAATGATGTTGACGTTTGCTCGGGCTGCAGCCACTTCCAATTTCACACATGCTACACGGACAGCGTCCACAAATCCCATATATAGAATGAAGCGCATTGAGATTCTAGAAACAAATCATGTCTGACTGAATCATCGGAGATTTGAGTGCATTCGCTTGATGAGTGCACTCGCAACTGTTGATTCGCATTCAATCAGCCATGGTAAATTACCTTTAAATGTTAAAACGCATGCGAATTACGCATTTGCAATTGCGCATTTAAAAATTGTTGCCTAAATTAAAATATACTTTTAACAGCTGCAAATTGGCATACAAATTTTCAGTGAGGTGTGAATGGTTCCCGGTAAATGGTATGCGCATAAATTGACTTGAAATCGCAATAAAGGATTCTCATAAATATAATTCCATTTACATTCTGTGTAATTTTAAGATTTAAGCCAAAATTGACAAGCTGCCAGCGAACTCCAAAACGCAAAGAATTGTTAAAATAGTATAGAAATTGGTTGTCTCTTAGTTAAAGTAGGTCAAGCTAGGGAGAAGTAGCTGGAAATCTGACAAAGTGTTCTTTAAAGGATTCTCCCCTGTTAGAATAGAGTAGTTAGAAATAGAATAGAATTTCGATGGATGTACTTCTTAGAATGGAATAATTTGATAATTGGATGAATCCAGATGCGAAATTTGTTAACTTTAAGGATCATAGTCTCTTAGTTAGAATAGGTCTATCTTAAACATAGAACTTAAACTAAAGAACTGTTTCTGACAATACTAACTTAAAGGAAACTACTTGGCGTATCTACTTTTCATGGATGAGACTTAGGAGCTGGGTTTTCTGAATAGAGGTTACAAGGCGAAGCAAAAATATGAACTTAAATTTATGATGTATTTGCTTGTCAGGCAAACGATTAAGGAGCTAAGGCACTAACACTAGGTTTTCTGTATAGATGTCAAAAGGAGACAGCTTTATTTTAGACAAGACATATTCTTTAGGGAGGTTCATGATTGAGTTGAAGTTCTCCAAGTAAGCCACTTAATCGGATCACCCGGTTAAAACTCAGGCTGAATGTGGATATAAGTGCACAATTCATTATTGTCATTGTTTATTGCCGCAGCTGGCCATGTTGCGCCATATTCGGCGTAAAGGGTTTATAGTATGCTAGGGGTGAGAGGTATACAAATGCACAAACAAAACCAGAAACTAAAGCAAATGAAATTATGAAAAGGAGCAAGACGAAATTAGTATGGATAATTGAGAGAGTCGCAAGCAAAGGCAAATTTAAGCTAGACAAAACTTAATCGGATTAAATGTTGTATATATTGCATATGCGCGTGAAAGACATAAGTTGCATAAACAAGTGGCAACAACAGCCAAAGCCGGGCTAATGAGGGCCTTGCTGACACGCAAAAGGCCACAATTGACAGACAAAGCCGCAAACAAATGTGGAGCCGGGGCAGAGCATCAGGCGTGCCACGTCAGCAAGTGGAGCATGTGGAGCATGGAGGGCATGTGGAGAATGGTAGCTGCGGCTAATGGTAGCTGCTGCAATTCATTAACAATTAGCAGTCGGTGTCTGAAGTGGCGCCCAACTGCAGATAATTGCCACAGCTTGCAGCATGTTGTGGCAAAGGTCAGGCGGGCAGGTTTGCCAGGCGCGAACACGTGCGCTTTTATGAGGCCTTGTGGTGCGACAAAAACCAAAAGGGATTTACACAAAACCCGATTTAATGATGCCTCATAAATGGGATGCAAAGCAGGCAGCTTTTATGGCGCAACGGTCGCAATAAGATTGCATAAATCGCGTACCTGTGCGGGCAGGTAAAATGGCAACGGGCCTTAAATACAGCTGCCGCAGAGGCCACAGCACACAGAAGCTTCTCGACCGCCAGACGAGCAACACACACGCAAAGTACACACATCTATCATATATATTCGACAGAGTAGTCCAAACACAACCTCACAAGCATGGGCAATTCACACTCCGACGCCGCCAGCTCAGGTGGCAGCAACACGACGCCCAGCGGCTGTGGCTGCTGTCTGTCGCCACGCCCACAATTCAGCCAATTACTGGCCAAGCTGCGCCGCACTCTGACCCGGCATTTGCGGCCACGTAAGCGACGCGGCGGTGGCGGCGGCTTTCAGCGCGGCTGCGGCGCACGCACCGCTCTGCTGCGTCCCATGCCACGCTGCTCCTCCTTTGGCAGCTGCAGCACCCTGCTGATGCCGCCCAAGCAGCCGCAGCCAACGCAGGCGGACAACAACTATGCGCAGTGGAAGTGCATGTTCGAGCATGCGGGTGGCAAGCGTCAGTTGCCGGCCGCGCCGCGTCCGCACGACATCAGCGAGGCGCTCTCGGGGCAGACAACGCCGCGTGGCTTTCCCTCGCACACGGATGCACGTCGCTGCCCACAGCACGAGGAACTGGTGCGGCAGCAGCAGGAGCCGCCGCTCTATGAGGAGTGCGTCGTGGGCGATGTCAAGGTGCGCAGCCGTCTGAGCTTCCGTCTGCCCGGCAGCAGCCAGAGCAGCGTGCGGCGTCTGACGGCACGCCAGCGAGCCGCCCAGGCCAAGCTGGAGGAGCAGCTGCAGCGGGAGCTGTGCGATCTGGAGGAATACTATGGCGGCTTTTACTATGCCCGTCGCAACGAACGACGCATTTGATCGCATTTGTAGAAGCGAAATGGAATCCGTAATGTGATAGCATTAAAAATTCGTATTTAAGTAAATCAAAAAATGTTTTAGTTTGAATAAAATTCGAACTGAAATGTATGTAGGACAGTACAATCAAAGCGCTCAATCAATCAATCACTTGCAATAGACAGTCTGTAGTTTATATAAAACTAGCAGTTAAATAAGGAATTATACGCATGAGACAAAAGATAGTAGAGAAATGTGAAATTTGAAGTCAATCAATCAGCCAATCAATACAATTAATGACAATGTGCGAAATATACCAGAATAAAACAACCTAGACTTAGTCAATAATCTCGTATTTAACCTAAGAAATATATATGTAATTATATACAATTTGCTTTTATCAATAAATAAATCCATCAATCGGATTTGATGTATTAAAACGAAATTTGAATCATGTTCTGAATGTAGAATAGATCAAATATTATTGGGAGAAATACATTATTTCGCACGCCGTTCTACATATTCTTATAGATCGTCAACTGTCAGTCCATCAATCAATCAACATAAATGGTGGCAGTATAATAAACAAACATTTTCCATGATTTAAATCTCGAATTGACTAAATAATCAATCAGTAGGCCAATTATTATGCATATCACTTAATAATATGCAGACCATAAACAAACTCATTGATGGGTCAGTCTAAAAAATAAGCAATTAATCAATCAGTTGGTCAATCAATCAATTGATTGAAATTGATAGAATTTTCCATAAAATACTTTTTTCCATCTGATCAATGTATAATAGTCGAAATCGCCAATCAATCAATCGATAGATTTAAGTAACTTCAATCAATTAGATTGGAATGTATTAAGATACATTTCATATGGATAAAGGTCCACATTAAAACGAATGGCGGTCATTTACTGAGCGGGTAAAAAGCCAAATCCAAAATGAATACAAATTAATCCTTAGTCTGTGATGTATGAAGATGAAACTGGCTTTTATGAAATGGGACAGTAATTGGGAGCATTTGTATTTCAAGCTTTTATTTCAGTTGGGGCAACCGCCGCAGACGATTTTTTGCAGTTGGTCGAAATAGCAAACGCCCCTAAATGGGGGCAGGGTCACTGGCGGCGGCAATTAATCAGCGTCAATGAATTTGCTGCCAACTCGCAAAGCCAAAAAAAAAGTAAATAAAACTAAGCCAAAATGCAGCCAGAAATGCAACAGTCGAAAGAAAGAGAACAAAATCGTGTGGCAAGAGGCAACAAGGCAGGTCTGTCTGTGAGTGTGTGTGTGTGTGTGTGTGTGTGTGTGTGTGTGGGCGGGGGGTGTTGACGTGAGTCTGTGAGGTTTTGCAATTAGTCAGACCAACACTTTGTAATACCCTTAATAAAATGTAAGCCCTGCAGTTCTTGGGCCAGGGAGAGGGTAGCAACAGATTGCAATTTGTCAGTGAAACATTTACGAATGACGAAAATGTGGAACAGCTCGCGAGGAGATGTGAATAAACGGTAGAGATTGTAAGCGATAAGCAGTGAAAGATAGCTTTATATTTGAAAGAGGAAAAGATAAGCACTGTAAGAAAAAGAATGAAATATAGTTAAGGATAGAGAGAAAACGAGGCTGATGTATGATCAATATATGAAAAGAAATAGGCAAGAAAATGATGTAGACAGATAAAACCCTGGGAAGAAGGTACAAAAAAGAAGTAGTAACAATTAAAGAGAGGGAGATAGAAAGAGAGAGAGAGAGAAAAAGATATATACGACATGCCAACTTTGTGGCGATGCATGTAAATGTATGATGATGTAGATGTTGATATAGTTGTGATGAATGCGATGCATGTATGATGTATTTATGACTTATGTATAATGTATATATGAAGAATATATATAAATATGCATAATGTAATATGTACTTATGTCTGAGATATTCATATGTATGATGAACAAGTGACATCCAAATTACTTATGCATGAATAACCTACGTATCATATGCAATGCGTGCTTGACGTAGTTTGATATATATGTATATGGATGATGTATAAATGCTTATGTGAGATGTATGAATGATGTATGTACGATATACAAGGAGTTTTCCAGAAAATGTACTCTTTAATATCTTCGAAAATAAAGAGTATTTCAGCTTTGGCGTTAACAGTCTTTCGGTCTCTGCTGCTATTTATTTTATTTGTTTATTTTCACTTGTAATTTTTATCGGGCCTATCAATCAGCCAATTTCACAGCTCCCACCGATTTGTATTGATGATGCGTCTTTTCTATTTTGAAAATTGTTTGTTTTTCTTAGCAGCTGTCGCTGGTGATTTCAATTTGATTGAGAAGAAAAGCCAAAGAAAATGCAAAATGTGAAATTCATTCATTAAGAATTTGTGGAACAAAAATGTGGCGCTGATATGCGTCGGGCTGGTGAAGAGGTTTGAGGAGTGGGCCAAACGATTTATGAGGCTGCCAAGTGGCAGGCGAAATGCCAGAGACGACGCGCCACATAATGCAAATGCCGCAATGATATATTTGTGGCACACGCGAAAAAAAAGATGACAACAAGTTGAACGAACCGCAAAGCTGGCCACAGAATTTGGCACAAGTTCACGCAGAGAGCGAGGGGGGGGGGGGGGGGGGGGGGGGGGGGGGAGCGGAGGGAGGGAAATTGGTAGCAAATGAACTTAATCAATGGCCCAGTTAAATCACAGCTACTACCAAACAGCAGGCAACATTGCCAACATATCAGCCAAATTTATCCAAATTGTTGTTGGCCCACCCAACCTGAAGGCAACTGCCTACACCCCCCCCCTCGTCGCACATGTCATTCCATTTAGATAGTGTCCACTCAGAATGGGTTCGGACCTACTTTGAGCAAATCGATAGGCAAAGCCAAAAGCCACAAGCGACGCGTCACGTGCGCTTCGCCAGGCAAACAAAATCAACAAATGAAAACTAATAGGCAATTATAAGCAGCAAAACAGAAAGCGGAACAAAAAAAAAGAAGCAGACAGACAGACAGACGGACGGAAAGACAGAGAGACAGTCAAATGTAGCATGCAACATGCGGCAACACGCGGCGTATGAGTAACGCGTGTTTACCAAATGTCGCACTCAAACGCCGAGCAGCTAATAAGAGCAAGGCAAGCGCACAGCTGAAAACAACAATACGACTACCGTATACCCTAACAACTGCCTTATTAGCCCGGCTACTCTCCAGTTAAGCGTGGAAATTCATTAACCTAGGCTAAAGTGATATGAATTAAAGGCTAGGAATATGTTTTATAAAGCCTGTAAGACGTTTAAGAATGTGATCAAAGTAGAATAAGAAAAAGCCAAGTGCTGTTAAGAGAGACAATGCCAGAGTGTCGGTGCTCATTTAAAGGACATATTTTGGTAATTATCATTAACATGATTGTCGACTCTTATGAACAAATCACAATAGAGGCCTTCGCTGGAAGGGTATTCGGATGTGACAAGTCAACAAACAGCAAAAACAGAACGTAACGGAACAAAGCCGCTCGGATTGGCCAAGAGCCAAAAGCAAATAATATAGACCAAAAGCAGGCAGTGGGGCGAGGTGCGGGGCAGGGGGGAAAGGGCGGCGTACGCAAAAGAAGAGCAGCAGCAGAGAAAGACAAACAGCCGGCAAATACTTTTCAATTTCGGGCGCAGACTTAATGCCGCTCGCTGCAGTCGAGGCCGAGGCCAAAGCCGAGTCGCAATGAATCACAGCAAACCCCTCCCCCCACTTGCTTCACCCAAACCTACCAGCAAGGGCAATTACGCAGCGCTTAAGGGGGACCCTTGGAGGGGGGAGGATAAAACATAAATAATTACGTGCATACGTGCAGTCTGCGAGGCTGGCAACATTTCGGCTAATCAAATAAATTTGTCAGTTTATGCGCGTAGCCACATTTCACGCATTTTAAGTGGGTCGCGCGACACAGTCACCCTCCCTCACTGAGCTGGCTGTGCATGTGCTTGTATGTAAGCGAAGTTGTGGTGCATGTGTGTGTGTGTGTGTGTGAAGAGAAGTTGCTGTGTGTGTGGCTCAAGCATTAAAGAGTGCTACGATTTATGACATGCACACACACACACACAAGCCCGTACACACACACACACACACTTCGGCAAACTCTTTTTCTATTTGTAGCCTGTGAAATTTGATTTTGTTCTATTTATTAAAATTTTATATTTCAATTTATCCGCAATTTTCGCACTTTTGCTGATGACAATGCCAGCCCGCCCTTCCCCAGCTGCTCCCCGCCCACATTTGCCATTTTTCATGCCTCATTCGTGCTTGTGGTTGGCAACGTCAGACGCAGCTGCTATCGTTGGCAACGCTATCAAATCGTTTTATTTCCCTTTGACGCTTCCGCCGGCGGCCGCTTCAGTTGATGGCGACATCCCTGCCACGCCCTCGCGGCTCTTGCCCGCCGCTGTCGCTGTCTCTGCAGTCGGGCATTCGCGTCTGTTGACGCTGGCGCTGATTGTGTGCAAATGATAGCAATATGGTAACAATCTTTATGCCTCTACCTTGCGAGACAGCACCCCCGCCCCGGACGCCCATAGCTGCCCGGGTTCTCATCTCTCATCATCATCATCGCACAGCAGCCAACAATTTGCTATTACTGGCATACTCATCATCAGCATCATCATCATTGTTGGGTATGTTGATGTACACTCGCAGCTGGCAATTCAATTCCAGTGAAAAATATCTTTTAACATTGAGATTTATATTGGAGTGCTTCCAGGAACTGGTATCCACTCTATCAAGAGTGCTTGCTTGCAAATTCTACTAATCTTTTAAGTGGAATAGTAATTGGATTTCTTTTCTCGGAAACGCAATAAATCAGTTGTATTAACTAGGTGAAGGTCACAAGTTTTATTTTATTTGCCGCTGCTAGCACTGCTAACAGCTGCATAACATAGCTGACAGCTGTTGATAACAGCACATATTTGTTAACAGCTATTTAACATAGTCCGAAAATGTTTGGAACATAACAGTTTATACACATAAGAAGTACATTAAATATCAGCATACTGAAGTATACATTGTTAGTAAAAGCACGCTTAATTTAACATACAACTGTTAGTTCAAGCATAGCAGTCGCCTAACATAGCCAACAATTTAAAGTGATTGCAAGCAATTTTCAATGTCAACAACTGGTAATAAAAAGAAGCAAAAATATTTATGCACTAACATTTTTTTTTTTTTTAGCATATGTTAGTTAACAGCACATAGTTCTATCGAATTTCACCAACAAATATTTAACAATGGACAACACTAGCACACTGTGCTGCC